CCGGTTGGGGCATCGTGACACTCAAATACATGATGCGCAGTCGCAAATCATCATGAGCCGGAACGATGAAACGAGGTGTGTCGCCGTTGACTGCTGTATAGGACAGCAGTCCATCACGGACATAATACCGTTTTGTTGAAAAACGGTATTGAGACGACAAGCTTTTCAAAGCTTGACTGCATGGATTAGGTACTTAATCCATCAACCGCAGAAGAGATTCATCTTCTGTGTATGCTTTTCGCAAGTCGTCGAGCAGATTCGAAGACGGAACACCCACTGTTAGTGTCGCTACAGTGGGATCACCCCTACTGTTGTGTTGAGCAGTCGGCTCAAAATCGGGCCGATGCGAAAGAGCATCAGCGACGACATTAAGTCGTCCTGGTTTATACTCGACGGAGAAGTTGTACCCCGCGAATAAAGACAGCCACCTCGCCATTTGATGCAAGAGGTGTGGACTGTTTACGGCCGTGCGTAACGACGCATGGTCGGTATAAACGATGAAGGGCCTATCTGTCAACATATATACCCGAAACTTAGCCAGTGCATTTTTCATGTCAAGGATTTCCTTGTCATGAACCGGGTAGTTACGCTCAGCTGCTTGCAGATAAAGCGATTGATAACGGACGACGTGCTCAACGCCGTCTGAGTCGTACTGCATTAACACGCAGCCGATTGCAAAATCACTGGCGTCACAGACCACATGAAATGGCCTATCCTGATCTGCAATCGCCAACACAGGCGATTGCACCAAGCTTTTCTTGATGCCTTTAAGAGAGTGCTGACACTCAGCGCTCCATGAACACCTCTCGTTTCTCTTTAGCAGACGAGAGAGATGTACGGTTATCTCGGCATAGTTGCGCGAGTATTTGTGCAAGTACGCCGCCAAGCCAAGGAAATTTCGAAGTCCCTTGACGTCGACTGGTACAGGCCAGTCGCTAATCGCCTTGATCTTTTCTGGATCAGTGCGTACACCGTTTTATCCCATGATGCAGCCAAGAAGTGGAATTTGTTCGCTGCAAATATGTACTTCTTGAGGTTCGCGAACAACTTATGCTCTCGCATTAGAGTAAGAACCTTCCGGATGTGGATTCTATGGACCTACACGTCCGTCTTTCCATCCATAGCCCGGCTATGAACGAAGACATCGTCGACGTAACTCGGTGCGAAATTACGCACCGATCGCAACAGATTCGTAACACATCTGTTAAACGTTGCGGGGGCGTTACTTAGCCCCTGTGGCATCACTAGCCACTCCCAGGGCATACCACTGGGGTGCTCACTGCTGTGTAAGGGATGTTCCGTTCACGCATGAGGATCTGATAGAATCCATCCATCATATCCATGGACGAAAAGATAGTACTCTTTGCCATACCATCTATGATGACGTCCTTCCTCGGTATCGGCGTTTGAGCCAGTACCGTTGCAGCGTTCAATTTTTCTAAAGCGTGCACTATCCGCCACCCTCCTGTAGTCTTTCGCACACAGAAGGTCGGAGAGCTGTGTGGGGATGTTGATTCCCTCACATGACCAGCCGCTAAGCGATCGGCAAAGAATTTATCGATCGCCGTGACCTGTTGACGAGGCAGTAGCCACTGCTTCATGACACAGTACTTCAAACCGGGTTTCAGTTCGATCTCACGTCTAGTGCCTTTGTCCTTAGGCAGCTTGCATGGCACGGATTCAGGGAAAATATCCTTGAGTTCAACCATATTCTTATACAAAGGATTTGTCTCCAAAGACTCCCAAGATTTGCGATGTGTACCGCTCAATCCGGGTATTCTCATCGAGGACACTCTCATCTATCGATGAGCTACTGAGAACCCGTTCGTTCTCAGTAAACACTTGTGCCGACCGAATATCGGCGATGTACTCGTCCTCTGTGACGAGTACGCAGATCTGCTTGATCTTGTCACTACGCAGATCTCGCAAGAATCTTTTAGATCCTAGCGTTGGCAACTTGACCACCTCCGAAGCTGACTTCGGGGGGCGTCACCAGATCAAGTGTATTAGCGCCTACACTTGATCCTTTATTCACCAAGACATTAACTGACTCGGTGATTTCCTGATGAAACGCATCCGCAGGTGGTTGGAGATCCACACCCTCAACATAACTCTCTCGGGAGTTATCACTCTCAGGAACGCCGGGACTTTCTTCCAATGCGTGTCCTGATTGTGGGTGCAATGCCACAGTCACGTCCTCTTCGATAGACTCTCTTTCAGTCGATCGTGTTTGCTTTACGATCGACTCTCTGATAGTCGATCTCGCTGTAACGTGTTGTTCAGGATGAACAACAATAACCTCTCTTCTCGGATGCATCCTTCGTGGTGTGCATCCGTGTTCCAGTCCACTCGATATCTTCGAGTGGTGAACCTTCGACGCATCCTGTGTCTCTACACAGGTGCCGGAAGCTGGTTCAACAGTGCAGTGGTCTTCTACACTGTGATCTTGTGCAATCGTACTGACGACCGTACCACAAGTGAGGTCATCGCACTCACTCGTATTACATTCACACGCTTGTGGACGCTCCAAGACGTTCATCAGATGGCCATCCGATGAACAAACGGCAGGCATCTTCACGGATCGATGCTGCCAGATGATACATGGCTGGTATTTTCGAAGCCATGTCAGACCGAGGATGACATCAAATTTGTCATCCAAATTAAGTACGATGAAGTCGTCATCGTATTTCCTTCTTTCAAGCGTGTAGTTAATTCCCACTACACGTTTGTTCACTGTTACGGATGCACCTGTAGCAAGGCACACCGTCATCCTCGTTGGAGGGAACTCTCACTCAACATAGTTGAGACTACTATCCCTTAGCGACTGGCGTCGAACAAAACTGTTCGACGCACCACAGTCAGCTAGGGCGCGAAGTGACATTCCACTTGTCACTTCGATCTTCAAAGTGATGAGGGACACCTCATCACTAGGTGCAGAACACACAGAGACTGCGTGTTGGGAGCAATCTTCACCAAGAGTCCTGCAAATTCTCTTGACGTTGCTGGATCAGCAGGGTGCTCCGTCCCTACTGACCCTGACCGCTTTGTCAGTCCGATCCGACTTGCTGTCGCGGCTTGGCGACATGGTCGGACCCACGCCTTGGACCTTTCCTTGGCCAACAGCGGTCATCACGTCCTTTCTTTGGACGTGTTCCAGTGATCGGGACACTACACTCATGAGCGAAGTGTCTGATCTTCTGAAAGCGATGGCATCTTGCCGTTCGCTTGTGACTCAGAGAGCGAGAGATCTCGCTCTCGATGTAACAGAGGTCCATTGGTTCAGGACCTCCAGTTTCCTGTCGCCTCGTCGAACGATAGTTTGACGAGTTAGCCTGAGACTGTCTCAGGCTGAAGTCTTCTTGTTCCGCATACGCTATCGCCTTTTCCAGCGTCTAGAAGTCCTCTCGGAACATGTAGGTCTTCATCGGCCCATCCACAAGGCCGTAGATGAACACGTTGATGAGCGTGTGCTCATCAACAGGGTTCTCCGTAACGCTACTCGAAAGGTAGCGCAGGTGTTGTGCGTAAGCGTGCACGTCACGCTTACCTTGCTTTAGCTTTAAGAGTGCAGAGCGTGCTCTGAACTCGGCTCTCGGCGGCTCAAACTTCTCTTTGAGCCGAGCCTTCAAGATCTCCAACGACTCAAACACGTTTGGGTCGTGAAGCTTGAGCCCTAAGGCCCAAGTCTTTGCTCGTCCTGTCAAATTGGATAGGGAGATTGTGACTTGCATCTCGTCACCCTCGATGTGACGGGCCCTGATGGCATCGTCAAACTCCACGAACCATCTCAAAAGGGAATCTTCATCGGTTCCCTTGTACCTTGAGATATCAATCTTCAAAGTTTCGGATCGACGCGTGTGCGTCGGCCTACCCATCGACTGATGAGAGCCTTGCTGTTGTAGCAAGGCTATCTTCTGTCTTTCAACGGCAAGTTCCCCCTGTATGAACTTGTTGATAGCAGCATGTTGCTGGTCTCTGCTTAGAGACTCCAGCATGCCACTGATTGCGGGTTCGCCCATGAGCCGACTATCTTCCATTCTGATCCACTCAGGTGGAAGTAGCCTTCACATGTGCTGTGAAAGCTATCGTCTTCCAATTCCGACATGTTCATGTTGGACGGACACTAAGCAGTCATTGGACGGACTACGAAGTGCTAGAAGGTGTAACGAGGCACCCTTTGTTTGGGGTGCCACGAAACTTCACGTACACTAGTAGGTGCAGAAGAAGCTAATCTACTTAAACGACTCGTTCACGTAAAGGGTAAAAGAGAACTGTATTTAGTATAGTCAAGCTATCAATATAACTTTAATCTTTATCTAACTATATCCAACTACGTCGTCGAATTACGACAACCTGCTTACCACTCATTGCGCGCATCTAGCAGCGATTGGTGGTAATCTATGGTTGATGTGTCTTATATCAACCAATCTTGGAGCAGCGTGTGAATATTATTCTAGAAGGGGATAACATTCTTTCATTATTATCTATCTCGGATAAAATTGGTAGGATATTGTCATGCTAGACAATATCCCTATTGACACCGTTTGGTGTCAATGTCATGTAGCGGGCTACCTTGTTACAAAAAGGGTTGCGGCGACAACAGACGATTGTCTTTTTTTTAGTGGGGTCGTTGTTATAAAAATATATGGCTATACCGGCTCCTTAAAATGAATGTCCACAGGAGGTAAGATCGCAGGACGGCGTTCCGACCAAAACCCGACGTCGCGCCGCATTGCCTATTGTGGCACATACAATGACTACGTACTACAGCCGGCTAAGTATAAAGCATTTACGATTGGTTTGTGTCCAATAAAATCAACACGATAGAAAGAAGGCTGTTTTTCAACATTACGCAGCTTCATTTTCCTACGAACTCTAAGTACGATGGCGAAAGTGCAGCACTGATTCTGTGGAGATGCAAAAAGGACACTACAAAGATCAACAAAATGTCGCAAACTATCTAAAAGGTCATTTCTTCTGTACGTGTCGCCCTCATGACATCACTTAAAGTTACTAAAGTCCTCCCACATTCTCTTAAACTCGTCATTGTGGATACTTAAAAAGTTATAACGGATCATGATGGTGTCCGCAAAAATACGCGGGTCGACGCGCAGGACGAGAAGCGCCTGAAAACCTTGCTCCTCCAACTCCCACAGAGCATTTTGAACTTCACCAACGTATTGCTCAATAGCTGCCGGCGTTGGTATCTTGTTCTCCACATTGATCGGGGCCAAGCGAAAGCGGTCAGACAGAGGCACCTTGCGATCAGGGTGATGCATGGCCAATAACTTTTTTTCGAGGTCCTCAATGGAACTTGCGGGCACACCATATCGTTCTTCGTTGCTGTCCACCACTTAAGAAAAATTAATTCCATACAGGGGCGAATCGCCACCATCCGACGAAAGCGTGTTCGGGGCGACCGCCTTCGTCTCAGGTGTCTGCTCTGCAGTAATGGGGAAAAGCAAGACGCTTCCAGCTACCGTGACGAGAGCGAAATGTTGGAGAAGCATGCTCTTCGACAGTCACGTGGACAGGTAACCTGATAAAAAGGCCTTTGACACAATAAAAGGTTGTGGTGTGGATAAATTTCGTGAGTGAGAAGAGTGTGTGCACTCTGGGACAGTAGGAAATGATGGGTTCACGGACCCATGAATAACAACAAAAAAGGGCACAGTCCGCCGTAATGCTCCTTGCTGCTACGTACGATTAAAGCAGCGGTGGTGCAGTTAAAAACAGCAGTAGCCAGTTGTCCACCGAAATATGTCATATGCGAATGGGTTGTAGTTTAGCTAGAATATCTAAGTAATATGCAATAGTCCGGTCGTAACTTCGATATGTAAGGGCTCACACAGACAGAAATCGGCACTAAATGCTCCATCTAAAGATGTTCAGTGTATGAGCTTGTGAGGATATTGCATTAGGCGCGTTGCTTTGAGATATAAATTGTCGAGTGTTATTCAAGTCGACCTCTTCATCAACTGTTCGATCTTAACGGCGAACGACGAACGAATCACCAAGGTTTACAATAGAGGAGCAAGCTCTAAAACTCGCCCTATATACAAATAATATAATAAAGTGAACTGGATTAGTTCTGTAAATTTTACCTAGCCAATTCGAGCGGTTGGCGGCTGATCAATGGGCTGTATATATTGTGTGGAAAGTAAAAAAATCCTGATGTGTGTTCATGCTACTTATCTTGCGTCAAAGAAGACTTCAAAATCACGTTGATATATGATGTTGTCTACGTCATATATCAACGTGATTTTGAAGTCCAATGCTTGTGGCATGTGTTCAAAAGATAAAGAACGAAACAGTGCAGGGAATCGATAGAATCTGTTGCCCTTTATAGGTCTTTTTGATGCCGTCGTAGGGTTTGTGAGGGGAGCAATTTCTGAGGTGCAAGTTGGGTCTCCAGATCCGCTCTTACGTCAGACGGACCCTAGCTTCATCATTCTCGACCAAGAGCACAAGCATTGAACACAGGAGTAGCGGTAGTAAGCAAGCTCTTGTCTTCCATTGATTTGCTAGTGAAGATCTAACTATCAAAGTATACACTAGGATGGACAGCCGACAAACAACTTGAATCTACTGATCGAACTAATGAGTGATTCACTTGTGGTGCCCGCAGTATATATAGTATATTTTCGGTACATCAATCAATCGCTCTATGCTGACTCAAACTGCTGCCGTGCGTTCCGCCACGACTTAATTTTGCAGCGTGTTTCACGTAGGGCTCCGTCTCGCAACGTCCCATCCTGCTCGATCCCGCATTCTATGATTATCTTACAACATACCGTCGAGATTCTACTAACTTTTGATCATAAAAATTCAATGGGAATCACGAGAGCGTAAAATGTCAGCGTCGTCTATTTTACATGTATTCGTACTTAGATTTAGTATTCATTGTCTTTATTTGACCTTTCTACCAAGCTATGCATCCAGACATTATAGATGCTTGCAAAGATGATTTGGTTGCCCCTGGCGACGATCCGATCGACGTCCTTGGCCTACTGGGGCGTCCCGACTTCAATCTATGGCATACTTGAGTCTTTATAAAAGTAAATCGATTGACTAAAAGCCACGTCAAGAGGTTGTACTACTCCATCAACATCAAAACCGCTTTCGAGCAATCGCAATAGCTTGATATTTGCCCAAGATCATGCTTCAAGACGTCGCTTCTCACTAAACCTCTACTGCAGTGATGTGGATGCGTGTGATCAATTTTCGCTATTTCTTTACCACCACGCTAAATTAGAGTTCTGCTTGCATGGGTATGTACTCGGCAAACACCGATTTGGACCGAGTGGATGAGGCATCCAGCTTCTACACTTGTTGTAGCACGTAAGTATCGATCCCAGAGCAAAGCACTTTACCGTCTCGCTATTATTCGCATTCTTTGGTGCCCTCATTGCGTGCAAAGGCGATCATGTGTATGCAGATTTGTCGTTACGAAGTATACGAAAACTAAGATGTTCAAGGATCTCGTCCCGCAGTATCGTGCGTCCCATCCCGTCCCGCGCGGGACGGCGTCCTATCCCCCCCCCAATCCATTTCCATTCGGAATATTCCTTCTCCCTTCCCTTCCTCACCAATCTGCTTTTCGAGAATATCCACATACAAAAGATAAAAAAACTGATCAAGTCACCAATATCGCCACTCTCTTCGATCGATGATTGGCCGAGCGCAGCTTCTGGAACGTGTCCGAACCTCACGCGCGTCTTCCTCATCCACCACTCATTAAGGATTTCTATCCATTTCAACCTCAACATTCTGACAATCTCAACACGTCATGACCGAGGTACGACCAAGAAGAAGGAGATCAGAAGGAGATCAGAAGTCGACAATCGACACGGCGTCGTCTTCAAGGCAGTAGCTCCCCTCCACCTCTTCCGTCTCCTGTACTAACCACGTCCGTCTCTCTCTCTCTCTCTCCCCTTGACATTCTTCCATCCAGACCACAGCTGCAGACTGGAAAGCCAAAGGCAACGCCGCACTCAGTAGCGGCAACGCCCAAGAAGCTGTCGACTGCTACTCTCAAGCCATTGCCCTCGACCCGAGCGACCACGTGTTTTACTCCAATCGCTCAGCTGCCTATTTGTCCCTAGACGACGCCGCGCACGCTCTGGAAGACGCAGAGTTGTGTATCCACACCAAACCTGACTGGCCCAAGGCCTATAGTCGCAAAGGCGCGGCGCTGCACGCGCTGAGGCGCTACGACGAGGCCATTGCCGCGTACAAAGAAGGACTCAAACTTGACGAGCACAACGCTGCGTGTCTCAGCGGTCTGAACGAGGTCGAAAAGGCCCAATGTCCTGCTGTGGGAGCCAATGACCAGGCGTTTAACCCCCTGGCGAACGCGTTCGGACCTGATATGTTTGGCAAAATTGCTACGAACCCGCGTCTGTCGCCCATGCTGAGCGACCCGTCGTTTGTCCAGACGCTGCAGGAGATCCAGCGAGATCCGTCCAAGATGAGTGCACACTTTAAAGACCCGCGGGTTTTGACCGTGCTGGGCGAGCTCATGGGGCTCAATGTGAACACGGGCAGCGGGGACGAGCCTATGGACGAAGACATGCCAGCAGCCGCTGCTGCTGCTGCGACGTCGTCGATGCCAACAACTGATGGATCGGAACCGAGTCCTATGGACGAAGACTTGACGGACGAAGAAAAGACGGAGCGAGCAATGAAACGAGCTGCAGAAGAAGCCAAGCAGCGCGGCAATGCGCTGTACAAGCAGAAACAGTTTTCGGATGCCATTGCGTGCTACGAGGAAGCGATCGAGAAGGACGCGAACAACATGTCGTATTACAGCAACTTGGCTGCTGTGAAGCTAGAGATGGGTCAGTATGATGCGTGCATTGAGGACTGCAAGTACGTGGCTGAGGGATTTTGCTTACAGGCGACGGATTATTGTGTCGGTGGGAGTAGCTGCTAATGTGGAAACGTCATGCTTATTGCTGTTGATGATGATAGGAAAGCAATTGAAGTCGGGCGCGCGAACCGTGCCGACTACGCGCTGATTGCCAAAGCATATGTGCGTGTTGGCAATGCTCACCTGAAGAAGGGTGAGACAGAGGAAAACTTGACTGCGGCCATCGGCTCGTACGAGAATGCTCAGATGGAGAACCGCTCCAAGGTCGTGGAGCGCACGATTAAGGCGCTGCAGATGAAGCTGCGCAAAGCCAGAGAGCTGGCTTACATTGACCTCGACAAGGCGCTGGAGGCTAAGAATGAGGGCAACGAATTCTTTAAGAATGGCGATTTTCCTAAGGCCGTGGAGCGCTACACCGAGGCTATCAAGCGGGACCCGTCGTGTGCTGTGTACTACGCTAACCGCGCGGCAGCATATACGAAACTAACGTCATTTAACGAGGCAAAGAAGGATTGTGAAAAAGCGATCGAGCTTGATCCCAAATATGTAAAGGCATACTCTCGTATGGGTGCGATACAGTGTTTCATGAAAGAATTTCACAAGGCTCGTGAGAGTTACGAGAAAGGCTTGGCGCTTGACCCGAACCATCAGGAGTGTATTGACGGTTTGCGAAACGTCATGTACAAGATCCAGGCCGGCGAGACGGATGAGGAGCGTGCGCGTCATGGAATGGCAGACCCGGAAATTCAGGCAATTTTGCGCGATCCGGTGATGCAGAACGTGCTGAATGATTTTCAAACGGATCCTACGAGTGCTCAACGTCATTTGCAGAACCCGGGCATTATGGCCAAGATTGAGAAGTTGATTGCCGCTGGTGTGCTACAGACCAAGTGAGCCTTGCACGTAGGCTCTTGTGTCGGTGTCTAGCCGTATAAGACGTTTCCGGAAGACGTTGTTGTTTGGAATCGGTGATGCGTATCGCACTTCAGTGCATTTAAAGTGAGCTTGTGCAGCTTTTTGTCGAATCGACGTGGTGGCATGTGACGCTCATCACTCTGGTACAGTTTGACGCCGACTAATCCGATGACGATCCGTACTCGGAACCGGTGGACACTTGATTCAGGCCGCATGTCTTATGAACACTGAGATCTTCACGCCTTACTCGAAACAGTTTCTCAAAGGTGGACGACAAGCGACTATAGTAGCTGTCGGGCCTATTGCTAGCGCTAACGATGAAGCAGCTTCATGTTTCTTGTCCTGACGCCTGTGAAATTTTAGGGTCCGCTATCTACGCAAAAGCAATACGATCGTATGTGATGCCGGTCTAAGTTCGCACCACGACGTAGGTTACGATGATATTCAGTATGACACAACAGAGACCACTTCATTACGATTTAGCAAAGCTGAAAGTGGGTGCTCTCAACTAATGCTCCAACCCGGGGCATTGGTCCGGGCCAGACCTCGACCGATGCGTGACCCGGACCACCCCCAGGTCGACCCAGTAAAACCTGGTCCGGGTCAGAGCCAAAAGTAGAATATTTACAGAAATGAACGAAAATATAGAGCTGCCAAAACCATGCCGGGTGAAGTAAAACAGAGCTTTTGTGAAGAGTTGCAGTCCGCGGCGCGAGCATCAATGCATCATGCAGGTATTGATTGAGTTCGCAGCAATGTTAAGAAGCGTCCCACCTTTTCATCTGCTTCATCTCGTGTGTAGCTTCTATCATTGGCTCAGGATGAAAAGATACGTGGGTAGCACGATTTTGCTCGTCGGGTTCGACGTCATTCAATTCGTTTATGTTCAACTTCTCCATTGTGGTTTTCATTACGATCGTAGATGGCTCTCTTTCTGCCTTTCCTTGTGGATAGTACTATCAATGTCTACCCTGGAAGTCGGAGTGTTGTTTCGGTGGCAAGTCTGAATGAAACTCCGAGTCGCATTGACTTCGTCAAGTTCAAGATGTGATGTACGACGGCTACCGTTCCACGGACCCGTCGAGCGAAAGGTTTTGCCCTCATTTCGTCATCATAGCCGCAGCATGAACATCTCTATCAGAATTCTTTACTGTGTTCATAGACCACTTTTCGTTGTTCAAAAGAAAGACGAACTCATAGGTACAGCACATTATTTCTCTTGACCTCACTTACACCGATGTTTCCGCAGACGACCGAGAGCGATGTTCGACTCCCTGAGCACAGCGCATATACAACTCTGACACAAGGTGCATTAATTACTTCGCCGACCTTTTCACGACAATCGCGTACACAGACGTGGCCAGTTCCTTTGCATTCTGGAGCATAGCACAACTTTTTGCTTGAAGGCGGAGGGTAGCGGAAGAACATGTAGATCACTCATTTCGGTCTTCCAAAAGAATGGGTTTCCACGGTACAAACGGCAGGTGGAATGAGGTCAGCACAGTGTTCTTTTTAAAGGCGGTAATGTGATTGTTGTGGGAAGCGTGTTGTAGCGAGATACCATGTTTCGTTACGCTACCCCCTTGTTTCCTAGACGAAGCACTTGTTCTCGATATCCTCGAAATCTTTGTCACTGAAATTCCCTGGATTTAACTACATTGTCCCCATTTAATTTCTCATCGGGGTTCGCAATAGCGACTGTAATGAGAATCCGACTCTCATCAACCATTTGTCTCACTGGCTGACCCATGTCATCACGATTCACTCTTCGACGTTATTCGTATCTTGAGGTCGCTCCACCAATACAAAGCATCAACATCAACCCGTCATGACTATGACCCTTGCCACCCAAGCTACCATCTTGCACGTTCTTAGGCCATGACATTCTCGATCAGGGGGTAATGTATGCGATTGTCTGCCGGCTGTTAGCCCCACAGGAGGCGGTAATTCACCAGAAAGCTGCAAAGAAAGAATAGGTATCCAGAAAAATCACAAACTGTGATCTTGCTGGTGGCTGACCGGACACGTTCTGCTCTTCTCAAGAGTATGATTGGTGTGCGATCGAATGCTTCTTGCAGCAGGCTTGAGCTAGTAGTTTGACGCATTAGAAAAAAAAAGCTACGATTTGCCCAAAAACAGAAGCTCTGAGATGGACTTGTCTTGCGGAGATGAAGTCGCCCCCCTGACCATGAAGAGCAGCGAACTGCTTTGTACCGTCGACGTTGTTAATATGACACCATACATGTTGTGCCTGCGTTCTTGAAAGCTTGCCCTGCCCACATCTCTACGGCATAAAATGCTTTGCCTACTTCTTCACATTTCTTCCGAGTAAACGTTGTTGACTAGGTAGGGTACTAGCCACTGGTTGCTGATTAGTGTGCCTCTGTCGTCCGAAATGCGTCAATGTGGTACTGCGCGATGTAACAGGTGAAAGCGGTTGCAGCATACCAGTCCAATGGTCGAGTTTTTGTACTTTAGACACCTCGAAGCCCAACACGGCACTATCACTCTTAATGTAGAGAAGTCGATTGTAATTGTCCTCCGCGGAAGACACGGAACGACCGTATGTTACTGGAATTACAACAAAAGACGCAGCAGGCGGCAGAGAAACGTTTGAGTAGCAGAGCATGTTGGAATGTGTCCATGCTTGCGCTGGTACTAGCTGCTGATATGATTCGTAGTTTTATGCCATCAATTAGTCAACCAAGTCAGCTTCTCTCTGTCCTGTGCACATCACTGTTTAACATCACCGATTGTCTCTGCCACGTCATGGAGACACGTTCACCCTCAGCTATCAACAACGTGAGCTCACGTGTAATGCAAAGAAGCAGAACGTGACCCGTGCCAATTTTCAGCTCGCGCTCTTGAACTCTCGACATCAACTGATCGGCTACTTCATCATGTACGGCGACACATGTACAACAGGACCCAAAACCTCCTTCCAAACAGGGTTTGCGTCCAGGCGGCCCAGAAAAATGCTGGGGCCGATTTGCTTGCTAATCTGTACGACACAGTCACGGGCAGCAAACTTAGCGAGATGATTCGTTCCTTGAAGCGTAAAGACCAACGGGTCTAGAAATAGCTCAAGGTAGCGTTTGAACACCTTCTTGCCCAGCGCCTCGCACATGGACGGAAGCTGTTTCCAAATGGTTCCTTGCAAGACGGCGGTCTGAGGAAAGTGGCGAAGGATCGCTATGTCCGCAACCTGTGGAAGAAATTTCACAGCGACGTCAGGAGCTACGTTACAGAGCTCGCGCACCATGTAGATTGCACCGTCGGCATGCTCCCACGGCTCTTTCTCGCGGTGCTCGTGACGTTCAAAAAGTTTGGGCTCCAGCGAACAGCACGAGAAAGCCTGCTTGCTAAGGTGCTTCTTCTCAGAACGCATAAGTTCATCGTACTCGTGTTGTGTCATCGCTGGCTGCTTCTTTGCAAGCAACAAGTACTCTACCGTGACAGTAGTCACGCGATCTAGTGCTTCTTGGCCATATGCGCGAATCACATTACCCAGAGCAATGGCTGCGTCTTCACGCACGGACCAAATGTCGTCCGAGAGGTGGTCAATCCATAGATGATACAAATCATCCAAAAACGGACGGCACTCGTCAGGAAAACCAAGCACCAGCTGCGCTGACGCCAAACACGCCGCATCGCGGATCAGATTTGATACATCGTAGAAACAAATGAGAAGAGCCTGCATGAGACGGCCAAGGTGCGGACGAATCGCTGTCGGATCAACTTTCATCCCGAGTTCGGCAATGCACTGGCACGCCGATTCGCGGACACAGTGATTCGTCATTTCCACGTAGTAGTCGACTATCTCATTGGCGTATGTGGCCACCAATTCGCGGCCCCGGTTGCCCACAATCATTTTCCAAGATTCTTGAGAGTATTTTTGCACGCGCTCTGCAATATAGTACCGATTTAAACACATTCTAGGCAGCAAAATAGGCAAACATGCTTTACGCCCCTGCTCCTGCAACTTCAGTAAAAAAGAGCGTGTCGCAATCGAGGCAGCATAGCGCACTTGGCACCAATTGTCCTCCATGCCGCGCTTAATGCACTTGATCAAGATATCACCCACAGTCGAGTGGTGTATGTCAAAGAACCCCATAGGCGCAATGTCTGCTAGTACCGTAATCGTGTCGAGCCCTACAACTCTCACATGGCGATTTATATGAAAGCAGCTTTTGGTTGCCACAAGAGTCACGAGCGACGGCGTCAAATAGACAAACTCGTGCCCCTCGTCTCCGACTTGTGTCTTGTCTTTTTCCAGGAACGCTTGGCCACTTGCTTTAATAATGTACTTGAGTGCACACAATGAACTTTCAAGTGCTTTCCATCCACTCACATCATCCAGTCTATAGGGTGTTGAGGGTGTGCGTGGTGTACTCTCTGGACTCTGTGGTGGTGTCATCATACCATTCGTACTGACATTATCGTCCAATTCGTCAAATCCGGTTTCTTCAAAGTCAGGTGAACGACTGAGGTTTGCCTCGATCGAGTCCACGAGTTGCGGCAAAAACGTGTGCGAGACCCACGCGAGGTCCCACTTGGCTAAAACACCGAGCAAAGTGGCAATTGCCATGCGAACTCGCGGCTCATAGTACTCCAAGTATTGATGCACCGCGTGCTTGATTGTTTGCGTCACGAAAGTCTCCGATAAAGTCGTGGACACAACGTGCGGAGTCTCTAATTTTAGACATTGACCGAAAAAAACCTCGTCGACAGGTTTATCCGGATTCGGACAAATGTCGACGGACCGACCCAAAATGTCCCGCACGACGACAAAAAACACAGCAAGCGGTTCCCAGCGCTCGCGACCATACAAAAGTAGAGTCTGTAGTTCCTGCTGCAGTCCCTCACGGCGCGTTGCTTCGTCAGTGCACACGGAGACTGGATCTGAAGGAAGTAGAATGTGCAAAATAGCTTGCGCCGTGTCCACAGCGCTTTGAGGGACTTTTGGCCGGTTCTTGAGTGTGCGCAAGGCGCCCGCAGCACTAGACAGCTCCATTTCGCTCGAAATGGGACTTTTGACGGACGAATTCCACGACACGAAAAAAGTGGTTTATTCTGTTTCGTTTCTATTTCTAAACGGCGACAACCGATACTTTGGTCGATGTCGTCTCGTTATCGACGCTCGGTCGTGTACCTGATATTAAAAGAGAGAATCCCACGCCTAACGTAACGACATTTGTCAGACGCCACAGTTAAGTCGGATCTCAGCCTTCATCTTGAAATGGGCGTCGATATGGGCAAAGGGAGTTGCTATGCGGCCGGAGTCCTAGTGGGAATTGGCTGGTGGATCCTAGCGGACGGTGCGGCTTCGGCGGCCTCTCGCGACTCGCACATCTCTTTCGACATTGTGAAGTACCTGCCAGGGACCGTCGCCACGCTCGCCTTCTTCCTGTGCGTCGTCGCTGCTCCTCGATCTCAGGACTGTTACAAACGGCACGTTTGGCTTGCAGTGCGGCACTCACAGCGTCGTTTGCGGTCGAATTGATTTAGGACGAACACGGTCAACTGGGACATGCTGTCGGAAGACACGCGCTTTACTTATGGCTCGGAAGTAGCCACTCGAGCGCGGTGTGTGGAGTCGATTCATCAGTTGTAGTACTGCTGTCAATCTTTCTTACGATCTGTACTATACTCTGCTGCTGCTGCTTTATCATAGATGCTTCGTCGTGTCCTGCATGGCTCTGTCTGTTGCTTCGCTGGTGGCTTCGGTGGTGGTGTTTACACACACTTACGTAAACAATGAGTACAACGAGTCGGCGTGGCCAGGTGCTGCTATTGTGTTCCAGAATGGATTTATAGTAATGGGCACTTTTGTCATGCGAGTCGGTACCATCGCTGCCGCATCGACGTATTGAAGTTGCGGATCCTGATATCGACAGTGCTACGCCATGTGGACCTTTACTGTGGGCAGCCTCATTGGTCGTGTATGGGATGGAAGGGAAGTGCGGGGTTTGAATGGTACTTCTGTTCATATAGTAATGCAATTGCCGTTGTCAACGTGGCATGATGTCCCTACTACATCGGTCTGCAGGTTTGAGATATTGTGTAGCAAAGTACACTTACTTCTGCTTACGCGTCTGAGCGTCGGTGGAAAACTCGGTACGTTTGATACAGGGCGCAGGAGAGGAATCAAGCTACGTCTTCAGGACGGTGTTAACTGATTGCTCTTGCGATTAATTGTGCGAGGATACTCTTTACCAGTATGCGTCTCACACAGTCGTGTGTTCTTACAGTCACTTTGCGTACCCGAGCATTGCAGAGCGATGGAGACGAAGGGTTAGTGGTACATATCACCAGCTTGCACAAATTGTATGTTACGACATTGACGCTGATGTGGCAACCTGTAACAGTGACGCTACCGAAGGTCGACGTCCACACTGGCAAATCTTAGTAGGGCCGAACTCCAATAGAAAGGAGCAATTGGGAAGGGGAGATGTCGGTGTGAAATCCTACGCTGCTGGCCGTTCTCGTCGTGGAAATGTTTCAACTTGCCTTCGAACACAGGTCGTAGAGCAGTCATCACTGCCTCGTTACCAGCTTTGGTACTCAAGGCCAGTAACTTGCAGCACGGTGGTCGAGGAGTGACAGGTCATGAAGAGTGTAATAAGTTGATCGAACTCGCATCCCTTCAGTGCACGCACTTGATACATGACCGCACATGTTTGATGCATCGACGCAAATTGACAGACCAGTCAACTCTTGCATCGACGTTCATCAGCTGCAGCAGTGACTTGCTGATGTGATGAAGGAGTCGAAGTCCAATTCCTGCTTTACGGCGTCGCCTTGACGCTCATGCCGTGCCCGTCTCTGTCGAACAACGGACATCTGACTTTTGATGGCAAACTTATAGCCGCGTGGACAAACAGTAGCGTGATGAAATGTGCCAACCGACGAGACGTGCCCTGGATGTGCTACGAGACCCCTCTCCACTCCCGTCGACCTAGTCGGTATCGTCTTCGTTTAGTGTCATTGGACCTGGCGAAGAGCTTAACAAAGAATGACCAAATTGAAAACTGAGGTCCGCACAGCGAAGTGCTGACTTGTTGGATCTCATCTGCACGCCGAACATGTTGCAAATGCAGAAGACGTGACAGGCAAAGCACTACAATTTTATGTTGCCCTCCCAGTCGGCCTATCCACATCGCGTTCGAATTCATCATACACAGCAGTCCGAGTCAAAAGTGCAAGCCGAAGTCTTAAGAGCTGTGACGGGGTGAGCCTGTTACATGTAATTAGCCCTCGATACTTGTTACTTTGAATATTATCGTAAAGGTTGATAATGCTCGTGAATATTACCATAAGGAGTAACATTTCGAAACACTCACCGATTGGCTGATATGGGCCATCATATCAGCCAGCTCTAGCGGTCCAATCAACGATGGACGCGCGCAATGAGTGGTGAGCAGATCGTTACAATACTTGTTTGTATTTAGACATACTTAAATGCATTCAGAAAAGGGTTTGATGTAAGAATTAACTATACTAGACTAAGTTTCACTTTTAACTGTACTAAGTACTCTTACTACATCTACCAATCTACCTCTGCACGTACGTGTACGTCAGGTAGTCGGACGCAAACACCTTTACACTGTAAGAAGCAACGTGTTTATTCAGTTGGCTGAATAAGGTGTGCCTTGTTACACCTGGTAGCACTTTGTAGTCCGTTCAACGACCGCAAATCCTACATCCAACATGAACGTGTTGGATGATGATAGTGACAGCTTTCACGCATGGCGTGAAAGATACTCCTATTTGAGCGACACCTAATGGTTTGCAATCAAACGAATGGGTTCGACCGTGGGCGAACATGCTGTCTCTGTCATGCTGTCCGCACTGGACAGAGATGGACAGCAAGCCGCCGTCGCCAAGTTCAAACAACATGAACTTGACGAGTCACGGGAGAATTAGGCTTGCTTCACCAACAAGGTTCTCAACAGGCAGAGCTGTTAAGAGAACAGAGTGCTCAACAGTTCGAGCTGTTGAGACAACAGCAGGCACATGCTGCTGTTCCCGGGGCGTCTCGGTCCGAAAATTTGAAGATAGACATCTCAAAGTACAAAGGAGTCGAGGAAGACTCCCTGCTGAGATGAATTGTCGAATTGAACAGCACCATAAGGACTTGTCACATCATCGATGAGCAAATGCAATTCGCATTTGCTCAGTTTAACCTGGCTGGACGTGTCAAAACCTGGGCATTAGGGCTCAAGTTGCACGACCCACATGTGTTTGGGTTGTTAAAGGTCTTCAAGACTCGGCTTAGACAAACGTTTGGACCGCCAAAGGCTAGATCAGAGCTCCTGAAACTCAAGCTGGGTAAGCTTGATGTGCGCACTTACCTTTAACACAAACGAATCCTTGCGAGTTGTATCACGGCCAACCTCGTTCCTAAACACACATTGATCACTGTGTTTATGCAGGGTCTTGCGGATGGTCATGTCAAGCCTCATCTGCTCCACTTGGAACTGGATACACTAGAAGAAGCGATATCAATTGCGAAACAGGAAGCCTTTTGCTTGAGACAGGCTCATGTTAGTCCGGGTTCATATCGTCTCCTAAGACGACAAGAAGTCGGAGGTCCAGAACCTATGGACCTCTGTTATGTCAAAAGCGAGAGACCTCGCTCTTCAGACAACAAGCGATTGCAGAAGTGCAATCGCTGTCAGAAGCTGGGAAAATACGCTTACGAGTGTAGCGCTTTACGCTCAGTGTCTTGAACACTAAGCGAACGGTTCGACCATTTTCCAATAAGGGCAACGAACGCGGGTCCGAAGTTGTTGCAAAATCTCAACATCGTAGTGGACCGTCAAAAAACGGTCAGTATCAGTACAAAGGAGTGCCCTGATGATCCAGCAACATCAAGAGAAACTAAAAACCTCTTGATGAAAGTTTTCCAGACTTACAATCGATGTGTGCCTCTGCACTTAGTGATGAAAAGCACCTTATCACCTTGAACTAAGAGGTGACAAAAAATTGTCACTTCGTAACCTGGTATACTGTGGGGCTTTGAACAACTTTGTTCGTCGCCAATCGCTAGGATCATCGTAGGCTCAAATTTGTTGAGCGCGATATCCCTTGACGAGGTGAAGGTGCGCTTAGCATCAGACGCATCGATAGCATTGATGGAACGTTTAGTGAGACCTCACTACACGCTAGAAGCTTTGCAGTTCGATGATGATTTCATCTTACTTGATTTGGATGACACGTTTGATTTCATCCTAGGTTTACCAAGTTCGAACCAAGGGTCAGATGGCCATCTGATGAGCGTCATCGTGCGTCTACAATCGTGCGGATGTACGGGGAGTGAGTGCGATGGTCTCATTTGCGGTAAGGTTGTTATTACGACTGCACAAGGCCTCAGTGTGGCTAATTGCCACACTGTGGAGCTAGATTTAGGCGTCTGCGTTGAGACACAGGTCGCGTCTAAGGTCCACCACTCGAACATGTCGAGTGAATCAAGACATGGGTTTACGCCTAGCACGCTACATCCAAGAAAGAACAAACCAGTTGCCCACACAGGACAACATGACGATCCTAGATTGGCTGGAGAGTCGATCGTAGAGGACTTAGCTGTGGCAGAGCAACCACATCTGGAAGACGTCAAGGGAATAATTCCCCACGTACTTGAGGATGAAACTCCTCAAGCAGTTATTGGTGAAGCGACGAGACCTCATCAACCTGAGGGAATAAGTCCTCTACATGTTGTAGAAATAGGTTCCAAGAAAGAAATTGATATATTGAATGTCTTGGTTGGTGACGGGTCAAGTGTAGGCGCTTATACACTTCATCGTATCGCGCCTCCGAAGATGACTATGGAGATCACTCAGCTGCCAACGCTAGAACCGAAACGGTTCTTGTGTGATCTGCGCAGTTGAAAGGTCCGGAAGATCTGTATACTCGTCACAGAGGAAAGTTATGTGACCGATATTTGGACGGCGACAGTATTTGCTGAAAACGAACGGGTTCTCAGCAGCTCATCAATGGACGAAAGTGTCTCGATGAGAAGACTCGGATTGAGCGATACACATCTCAATCTTGGAATTCGCTTCAGGCAAATCTTTTATACAAGGATTTGATCGAATCCGAGGACGTTTTCCCTAAATCCGTACCATGCGAGTTGCCTAAGGATAAAGGCACTCGATATGAAATGAGCTCAAACCGGGCTCGAAGTACTACTTCATGAAGCAGTGGCCACTCCCTCGTTATCAAGTACTAGCGATCGAGAAGTTCTTTTCCGATCGTTTTGCAGCGAGCCATGTGAGGGAATCAACTTTCCCTAACATATCTTCGTCAGTCTGTGTGCGAAAGTCCACCGGAGGATGGCGGATAGTGCACGCATTTGACAAGTTGAATGCTGCAACGGTACCAACTCAGACACCGATGACGAGGAAGAAAGTAATCATTGATTGTATGTCAAAGAGTACCGTGTTCTCGTTCATGGATCTGATGGACGGCTTCTATTAGATCTTAATGCGTGAATAGGATATCTCTTTCACAGCAGTGAGCACCCCAGCTGTATGCTGTGAGTGGCTAGTAATGCTACAAGGGCTTATCAACGCCCCTGAAACGTTCAACAGATGTGTGACCAATCTGTCGAGACCGGTGCGAGACTTCGAATCGAGTTACTTTGACACTATATCCGTCCATAATCGGGCTATGGGTGGACAGACGGGTGTCGAAGTCCACCGACTCCAAGTCCTAAAGGTTTGTACACTTATACGCAATTATAAGTTGTACGCTAACCTCAAGAAGTGTAAATCCGCTGCTAGCGCAACATCACTTCTTGGAAACATCATGGTAAACATGGCGTACGCTCTGATCCAAAAAATAACAAGGCGAAGACAAATGGCTTGTGCCAGTCGACATTCATAGACGCATATGCTCCTTGGTCCAACAGCATTCTTGCAGAAGTACCCGCCCTATTTCACCGAGACAACTTCTCATCTGCAAAACTTTAGGACTTGGAGTCGGTGGACTTCGACACCCGTCTGTCCACCCATAGCCCGATTATGGACGGATATATTGTCAAAGTAACTCGATTCGAAGTCTCGCACCGGTCTCGACAGATTGGTCACACATCTGTTGAACGTTTCAGGGGCGTTGATAAGCCCTTGTAGCATTACTAGCCACTCACAGCATACAGCTGGGGTGCTCACTGCTGTGAAAGAGACATCCTATTCACGCATTAAGATCTAATAGAAGCCGTCCATCAGATCCATGAACGAGAACACGGTACTCTTTGACATACAATCAATGATTACTTTCTTCCTCGTCATCGGTGTCTGAGTTGGTACCGTTGCAGCATTCAACTTGTCAAATGCGTGCACTATCCGCCATCCTCCGGTGGACTTTCGCACACAGACTGACGAAGATATGTTAGGGAAAGTTGATTCCCTCACATGGCTCGCTGCAAAACGATCGGAAAAGAACTTCTCGATCGCTAGTACTTGATAACGAGGGAGTGGCCACTGCTTCATGAAGTAGTACTTCGAGCCCGGTTTGAGCTCATTTCATATCGAGTGCCTTTATCCTTAGGCAACTCGCATGGTACGGATTTAGGGAAAACGTCCTCGGATTCGATCAAATCC